TTTTTTTTGCTGATTTGAACTTGGACAACGAGGATGTTGCCTTTCAACTGTTTTTCTTACCTTTACTCACTCCAACTTGACAAACCTGCCTACGGAGTGATGTTTTTGCCTATTCAGAAGTGCACCTGTGACTTCAACGTACTTGCCCCTAAAAAAAGAAAATGGAAATGATGCATGCCCACTGTGGACTGAATGTTCTTTGCACTTAAAGTTTCCTCTCCTCTTAAATCACCTCGTTGTTCTCACACTTGTGCTTTGCATTAAAAAAAAAAACAAAAAAAAAAACAGAGGAATATATATATGTTTAGAAGAGTAAGCAGGGTCATGGAAAGAAGTAGAAGAAAGATTGAGCAAACCATCCCTCAACTATTTCAGCCACTGCAACCTAATTAATCAAATAACCAATCAATTAATCGGTCGAATAATCATGTGATCGAGGTTCATTCAATTGACCATTCGACCAATCAAAGCAACCATTCAACCAATCACGTGATCGGCCAGCCAATCAAGAGATAGGTCGATCGGCTAAGTGGTCGGTAGACCAATCATATGATTGATACCGACCAATCATATGTCTGATCGACCAATTTTTCGCTTAGCCACCTCAAAGTGATAGATGATAATTTCAGCAATCAATTGACCAAATCAGACTAATTAATCGACAGATTGACCAACCACTAAAGCGATCACACGACTGAATCAAGTGATCGGTCGGCCAATCTTATGATTGGTCGACCATTTATTCGATCCATAGTCCAATTTAATGATCGGTTGGACAAACGAATCAATCAACCATTGAGCGTTCAGCGTCAGGACGTACAACAAATCGATTGATTGGTCGATTCGATCCACCGGTCGATTCCTTCATCTACAAAACAAGCAATGAAGCCCCCATTCAGACCACTTATTCTTTGCACTTAAACATGTTCTCACACCGTGGTTCATTCAATTGATCATTCGACCAATCAAAGCAATCATTCGACCAATCACGCGATTGGCCAACCAATCAAGCGATAGGTCAATCGGCCAAGTGGTCGGTAGACCAATCATATGATTAATTGACCAATCAATTGCTTAGCCGCCTCAAGTGATAGATGATCTTTCCATCCATCAATTGACCAAATCAGAGTATTTAATCGACCGATCATATGATCAGTCAACCATTCAAGTGATCACTCGACCAAATCAAGTGATCATTCGGTCAATCATATGATTGGTCAACCATTCACTCGATCCACAGTCCAAATAAACGATCCGCCGGACAAACAAATCAATCGACCATAAAGCATTCAGCGTTAGGACGAACAACAAATGAATTGATTGGTCGATTCGCTCCACCGATCGATTCCTTCATATACAAAGCAATTAATGGACTCAGAAGCCTCCCATTTGGACCGCTTATTCTTTCAATTCAAATAATTTTCACATTCTAGTCATCTTGCCCTGCCGATAAACCAAATCAAAACCGATCATTCGACCAATCACGTGATCGGCCAACCAATCAAGCGATCGGTTGACCGGTCGGGTGGTCGGTACACCAATCATATGATTTGATTGGTCGCCTCAAGTAATCGAAGATTATTCAAGCAATCAGTCGACCAAATTAGAGTAATCAATGGACCGATCAGGACATCGCCCAACCAATCAAAGCAACCAGACGCCCAAATCAAGTGATTGGTAGGATTGATCGACCAAACCTTTTGATCGACCGACCAAATGGACGATCGACCAAACAAACGAGTCAATCGACCTTTCAGCGTCAGGCCGATCAACAAATCGATTGTTTGATTGTTTCGTCCACCGATCAACTCCTTCATCCATAAAGCAAATAATGGAGCCCTCATTCGGACTGTATATTCTTTGCACAACAATCAACCGACCGATCAGGACATCTCCCAACCTTTCAAGCAATCAGACGGTCGAATCAATTGATCAGTTGCATTGGTCGACCAACTTTTTTATCGACCGACCAAATGGATGATCGGCCAAACAAACGAATCAATCGACCTTTCATTATCAGGCCGATCAACAAATCAATTGTTTGATTGATTCGTACACCGATCAACTCCTTTATCTACAAAGCAAATAATCATGGAGTCCTCATTCGGACTGTTTATTCTTTGCATAGCAATCAACCAACCGATCAAGTTATCGCCCAACCAATCAAGCAACCAGACGGCCGAATCAAGTGATCGGTTGGATTGGTCGACCAGTCTTTTGATTGACCGACCAAATGGATGAACAACTAAGCAAACGAATCAATCGACTTTGAGCGTCAGACCGATCAACAAATGGATTGTTTAATTGATTCATCCACCGATCAACTCCTTCTTCTACAAGGCGAATAATGAAGCCTTCATTCGGACCGCCTCTTCTTTGCATAAAAAAAAAAAAGGAGGGAGACACCAGAGAAAGCGAAAAATTAATAAAGGAGGCAAGAGAGAAGAAGCTATACAAAACACTACCCTGACCAACCTTTTTAATCTTCATTTCAACCATTCCAACCAACTGCCAGATCAGAATGACCAATCGTATAACAGGTAAAATAATCAGATTGACTGATGACTCATCAATCAACCCAGTAATCAACCAACCAATCAAGTGATCGACTATTAATCGATCGGACGACTGGGCGAAGGATCAGTCGATCAATCATGTAAATGGCAGAGCAATCATTGACCGACCAAGCAATCTAGTAGGAAGCCACGTAAGCAACTCATAGACCAATCCAGAGTTAGACCGTTCAAACCAATCGATTGATTAGTGATTTGACCGACCAATCATATAATCAAACGATCGATGATCATCCAAGTCATCAACCAACCGAACAAAAAATCAATCGAACAATCAACAATAAACAGTTCGATAGATTGGTTGAATGATTGATCAACCAATCATTTGATCAACTGACAAATCAAGTATTTCGCCTGCCAATTAACTAATCTAGTTTTCGACCTCAAACCAAATGAACCAATCGCCTGATCCATAGAATCGGCCTACCGCTTCATATACCAAGCAAATACTGGAGCTCAATTTACGCTGCATACTTTTTTTACCATTGCTCCGTCATCTCACCTGTGCATGGCTTGTGCACAAAAAAAAAAAAAAAGGGAGAGGGAAAGGGGAAAGAATAATATACAAAGATAACAATAAAGTAAGCAAGACAAAGAAGAAAGTTATTTTTCCTACGCCAAACTACTAACTTTCTAACCAAGGATTTCCAACCAAATCAACAAACCAATGATCAATCAAATAACCGATCAACCAATAAAGCATTAAATCAACTGTTACTATTCCTCTTATTCATCACCAGACCTCATCTCCATCAATCATTTAGAAAAAAAAAGAACCTCAAAAAAAAAAAAAAAAAAAAAGGAAAGAAAGGGGGGGCTACGAGAAGGATAAAGGAAGGAAGGGAATAAAAAAGGTCGGCAACAGGGAAGGTTCAGGAAGGAGAGAGAAGGGCCAACGAAAACAAAACTGAACATCCAATCACAACCTACTTATGATATAAATCCCGAACCCTGTACACCCGTCCTTTCCCCATCAACAATGCATTACCATAGGTATTGAATTTAGCCTCAAACAAAACCGACAGGGCAACCAACATTAAAACCTCCCTACCCATAATACTCTAACCTTATTTTGTCAATTACCCTAGAAGCAAACTATATTCAATCCTATACATGCAATTTTTTACTCACAACTTTATCGGATTGTCTTTTTTGCAGGTTATGGATCAATTCCTTTGGACCTTTCTGCATTTTACAATTTCTTTCCCTCTCAGAATGCTCTCCGCAGCTCCACTCAACCCCTCCCTTACCTCTCATTTTCCCACACCAGTAACTCTGTATGTATCCTTATTTCTCCTCCTCCTCCTTTTCATGGCCCCAATTCTTCTCTGCGCCTTTTTTTTTTTTTTTTTTTTTTTTTTTTTACACCATCAATAAATCAGATATACTTGCTTATCTCAGCACATAAAGGAAGGGGGAGAGAGGGGAAAGGGGGTCGGGGAAAGGGGAACGACCAGAAAGCAGGTAGAAAAAATCATGGAMAACTTTATAAAAAAAAAAAAAAAAAAAAAAAAAAAGGAAGAGAAGGGAAGAGAGGGGAAAGGCAAGGGAGAAGAAGAGAAAGACAAAAAAATAACGAGGAGAAATGGGGGTCAGTCCTTCGGGACATCCGTAAAAATTGGAACGATACAGTGAAGATTAGCATGGCCCCTGCGCAAGGATGACATGCATAAATCGAGAAATGGGGGTCATCAACGAATAAATGTTCGTCTAATTTTCATACCATCATCTTCTGCAAATCAAATTAGCCTTCAATCTACTAAAAAAAAAAAAAAAAAGGGAAGGTAGAAAGAAGGGAATGGTGAAAACTTAAAAAAAAAAAAAAAAAAACTCAATCACCCTCATAAGACCAACCATGCATATGCAATAAACGCATTTTAACATAAAAGGTTTTCAGAATAATCTCTATGCAGATGGATTCATGACTCAACACGTTTCTCGCTGCATCTGGCCCTCAATCTGTAATCGTAGCAGAAATTTATGTCGTTTTCTCATCCTACCCTAGTTTTCACACTAACAAGGATCCTAGAGTGTCTCAACCCTCTCTCCCACAACCTGAATGAGTTGTTTTTCAATGTTCAAATCAATATTGCAAATGAAATTCACAGAGTTCATGTGCATGCAATAAAGCAAAAAAATCCCTTACCCCCACCCCCTACTAATACCCCTCCCTCACCAACTCCTACCACCACCCCTTTCCAAAGTCTCCCACTTCCGGACGTCCCATCTTCCTCCTCCTCTTAGATCAATCAAGCCACTATCGACGTCTTTGAACAACTCAAGCAGCAGATGGTCAGCAAGCTAGAGGAGAATCGGATCTCCACAGAGCACCTCAAGAAGCAACTCATCGAGAAACACGAAGAAAGCTCAAACTTAAAACAACTATATCAAAACCTCCAATCGGAGATGAATGGTATTCAGCAGAAGCTCAACGACAAATCTCAGCCGGCCTACGAAGAATTGGCAGCATGAAGGTCAACTTTTACTTCCCCATGCTACTTCGCATAGATTGAAACTTACATACGCTTCTTGGAGATTAATATGAACTATTCTTACTTTCCCATAAGGAAAGCTTTCGCCGCGGACTTCACTGCAAAGGTAACATCTGTAGCAAAGGATTGTGCGGAGCCTCGCATCACCAAGACCGTCAAGCAGATACTCGACAGAGCAATGAGGAAAGCCATGGAGAAATCAATACCCATTATCAAGTCTGAATACAACTACTGCATGAGCCTCGTCAGACGCGACGCTCACAGGTAAGCAAAGGGTCGTTGCTCGACTAAATATATGCTTATCACCCCGGACCGCAAATAGGTCCACGCCGTTCGCGTTATGGGGCTTATCTTGTATTCTGTGTAATCTTGGAAACTGGGCATTCCAGAGTGGGAGCATTCCTCGTATCACAAGAAGGAAGACCATACCAAGATCGAGGATACCAGGAGGTCATCATCTAAGAGGCATTATGAAGATGACAAGGACAGAGGATACGACTACCACAGGGCAACCAAGAAGAACTCACACACACTGGCATGTGCTCACACACACACACACACATGCACACACACACACACGCACACAAACACACACATACACACACACACACACACACATGTTGCTTTTGCACCAGCTCTGTCTCTCTCTCCTCCCCCCC